GAGTGGCCTTCCCTTAAGACATCATGCACATGCCTGAAGCTATTATGTCGGTAATGAATAAAGGCTTGCTATGGTATATACCAAAACCACCTCGGAAACCCAAGGAGGGGTTGCTATGAGTCAGGGATCCAACTCAATGACAGTGAGTTTGGGGCTTTTTTGTTTTGTTTTTTTTTTTGATATGGCATATATCTGGGTGATACAAATGCTTAAGCACTAGACTACTAACTGAAGGGTAGGGGTTCAACCCCACCCACAGGCAACTCCAGAATAACACCTGGCTATCTGCTTCCAATAGGTAGGTCACAGCCTTGAAAATCCTATAGAGCAGTTGTACTCTACACACTTGTGGTCTCCATGAGTTGAAATGGACTAGATGGTCACTAGTAACAACAACATAGTATATATACACTTCAGGTCATAGGTCTTATTCTGAGAATCAAGGTTCTATTATGGCTAGAGGAGAAAACTGCCAGGAACTCTGGTGGTGTAGTGCCTAAGGCATTTGACTGCTAACCAGAAGGCTGGTGGTTCAAACCTACTAGCCACTCCTTGGAAGGAAGGTTAGGCAATCTACTTCTGTAGTGACACCGCGTTGGAAACTCAAGGAGAGGTCACTATGAGTCGGATCTGACTCAACGGCAGTAAATTGCATTCAGAAGTAACCCACTAGACTAGGATGGTTTGAAAATTGGTGGCTTGGGGGTGGGAGCAACAGAGTTGATGATGGAAATAGCCAGCCTATAGGAGCTCTGGTGGTGTGGTAGTTAAAACATTGGGCTGCTAACCAAAAGGTTGGCAGTTCAAACCCACCAGCTGTGCCACAAGAAAAAGATGAAGCAATCTGCTTCCATAAAGATTTACAGCCTTAGAAAGCCTATGGGGCAGTTCTATTCTATCCTAGAGGGTTGCTATGAGTCAGATCGATTTGATGACAGTGGATCTGGTGGTTTTTAATTTTTTTTTTTAAGTAAGTGTGTAATAAGCAGGGTTGTATTTTATGACTTTTGAATGTCCTCTCCTGTGGCATAGTCCATCACTTCCAAATATATCAGGCATACCTCCTTTTACTTATCTATATTAAATGCCTAGACCCTCTAAAGTCATTTGCAGTTGTGACACCATCTTATTTTATCTTTCTCAAACTTCTGCTCTGTTACACTCTTTCGTCCTTGCTCTTCTGGCAGCTGGAGTATAGCAGTCAAACTTTCAAATTATAAACATAACATGCAACACAAGAAACCTCTTTCCCAGGGGAGAGCACATGACTGACAAGACTTCTTGACCTCATTTAAACTGGTCAGATGACAATGTGGAAATACGTATTCCTAGGAGACATTGAGGAGAGCACCAAGTAGCTGCCTCCTAGAAGATGAAAACCAATGTATATGTCAAACTTAAAGTGAAAACTGGTGATATCCCACCACTCAAGATTTTAGTGAAGGGCACTGTCTAGTCTCTAGTCTGTCTTTCAAATTCCTAGTTCTCTAGTTTACACAAACCAGCCATGACCTCCTGGCTTCTGCTACAAGGAATGAGAACTGAAGCATGTGGATACCACTCAAGAGCTTCCAGTCCCTTCTTACAGGTATGTATTCATTCACTCTTTATTAATCTATTTTGGTATGGCACATTTCATACTCATCTAACTGGCCTAAACACAAATGACTAGGGCTACCTCTAGGTACAGGCTCCACAGACAACATAAAATAAACTCAGGAGTCAGACTCCCTAACTTCAGATCCCAGTTCTATCAGAGACTGAGTCACCTCAAAGAAGTCTTTTAACTTTTGTAAACCTCATTGTACTTGCATTTAAAAATACAGAAACTAATGCTTACTGTACAGGTACTAAAGAATTAATTGCACAGCCTAAAATGCAACAGAAAGCCTGGTTCTGTTTGTCCCACCATATACATATGATATATACTGGCACAATAATCCTTGAGATAATACTGGAGTCACAGCTAGTCAAAGGACCACTCCTCCCCACACTGGTCTTCCTGCCCCACTCTTAGGGACCACTGCCACCCCGCCCTCAATTCCACCTCACACCTCCAACTGCACCTGGCTAGCTGCTATATCTCTCAGATGTTATTCTCTCTGTTGCTTACTTGGGGAAGCCTTCACTGACTTGTCCCTCAAGGTCAGAGCCCCTGTTGCAATAACTCTCTTAGCATCTTGTATGTCTCCTCCTTACTATGCATCACTGACTATCCAAAAACCCAAAATCCACTGCCATCGAGTCAATTCCAATTCATGGAAACCCTTATCAGGTTTCTGAAGTGGTAAATCTTTACCGTAGTAGGTTGCCTAGTCTTCCTTCCATGAAGTGGCTGGTGGGTTTGAACCACCAGCCTTCTGGTTAGCAGCTAGATGCCTTAGGCACTGTGCTATCAGAGCTCCCATTGACTGTAATCACATGTTTATTTGTGTGATTATGACTGAAGTCTACCTCCTACATTAGACTGGAAACTGTGAGGGCAGAGACCATGTTGGATGTGCTCTCCAGCACCTGCATTAAATATATGTTTTGTTAACATATATCTGTTGCACATTATTATGTGCCAGAAACTGTACTTTAGCATCCTTATGTAAGGAGCCTGGTGGTACAATGGCTAAGCACTCAGCTGCTAACCAAAAGGTTGGTGGTTTGAAGTCCCAGTGGCTCCCAGTGGTGTTGGCGAATAATACTGAAAATATCACAGACTGTCAGAAAAAGGAATTCTGTTTTGGAAAAAGTATAGCCAGAATGCTCCTTAGGAGCAGAATGGCCAGACTTCATCCCACATATTTCCATCATGTTGTCAGAAGGGAACAGTCCCTAGAAAAGAATATCATGCTTGGTAAAGTAGAGGGTCAGCAAAAACAGGGAAGACCCTCCACAAGATTGATTGACACAGTGGCTGTAACGATGGACTCAAGCACAGCAAAGACTGTGAGGATGGCGCAGGACTGGCAGTGTTTTGTTCTATTGCAAACAGGATCACTATGAGTCAGAGCTGACTCAACGTCACCTAACAACAACAACGAACGTGGCTCCACAGGAGAACTGACCTGGTGATCTACTCCCACAAAGACTGCTGCTGAGGTAGTATCCCATCAAGTCAATCTGACTCATAACAACCCAATGTGGTAGGGTAGAACTGCCTCATAGGGTTTCCTAGGCTGCAATCTTTACAGGAGCAGATCACCAAATCTTTTCAAGCCTCTGGGTACGTTTGAATGCCAACCTTTTGGTTAGCAGCCGAGTGCTTAACCATTGAGCCACTAGGGCTCCCTATGATTACAGCCTAGGAAACTCTGTGGGTCAGGTCTATACTTTTATGAGTCACTATGAGTGGGAATAAATTTGACAGCACACAACACAACAAAGGTCTCACCTTGAAAGGGCATAAAAACAGGACAAGTGGATAAAATGATGATAAGCAGGTTAAATGAAGAGGCCAAGAACAGAGGGAGTCTAGTGTCCAAAAGAGATGCCAGCACACGGGTGGGTTAGGTAAGCAGGGAAGTGGGCAGACTCTAAAGGATGGCATTTGATGAGGGACAGAGAAGTAGAGGGTTAGAGCCTGGCAAGAAACCAAAAGTGATAGATTCAAAACAAGGTTAGTGGCCAACTCCACAATGTTTCTAAAGCCAGCTTCCCACCCTTCACCAAAAGGCTTTATTGAATGTCCCAGTCGCCCAGCAGAGTGCTGACCCAGAGAATCCCAGAAATAGAACAAAACTTCATATGGCTGCTCACGCCTGGCCTCGCCAAGCACCCCGCCTGCTCTCCCACTCCTGCCAAATTGCAAGGAATCATCCTCCAGCCCCAGGTGCTGAATTATTCAGTCGTTCTAGCAGCTTTCAAAACACATGTGCAGCAAGAAATTCCTCCGAAAAGGAAGGATTCATGTTATTTAGGCTACTAGGTCATTTTTTGAACTTCTTAAATTCTCATTAGCCACGTAATTGTTTTTCAATTAAATAGTAGCTCATTGACACCCCACCCTTACTAGCAAAAAGCAGTGGCAAACATATAATCACAAGACAATCTGCTGTTAATTCTGCAGTTACAAACAGGCAGCACTACCGCCCTGCACAACAGCCCCCGGCTTCCACACTCACACAAGGCTGAGCGCTGCTGTGGCACCTGAAATAAATACTCAACAAAGCAACAGGGAATCTGAAGAAAAACCTCCAACTACCCGCTATCTTCCTACAGGCAGATATAGACAGACAGACAGACCAACAGACTCATATGTCTCATTTCAGTTTAAAAAAGAAAAAGAAAGACTTCTTCCTTCTGATCTCTGTCACAATGCTAAAATCACTGAAATACTCCCTCTGTGCTTGGATCTGGAAACCCTTCTTCAACACCTCACCCACAACTCACCCACCCACTGCATGTCAGCTCTCTGAGATATTTTCTCCCAGAAGAAATAAGAATGTTGGGAGGGGAGGTAGGGAAACCAGTCACGAAACAAGCCTTTAAAATTCCCTTTTAGCATGGAGTTCCATCAGTAATCCTCTACTTCGTGCTTTGAAGAAGCTGAATATGAAGGAGATTTAAACAAACAAACAAGCAAAAAAAAAAAAAGAAAGAAAGAAAGTAAATACTTACCAGAGATGACCTACCCCAAATAAATTTAAAAAAAAAAAAACCCACAAAGGACAGGATGACATTTTATGAAAAAGCAATCTAACCACAAAGTCTCAGGCACTACCCTCTAAATGTCAACTAAAGCTGCCAGAGAGAGAATTACAGTAATAGGTAATATTTCATTGGAAATAGATGAAGGCAACCTTGCAAACTGTCAGATGCCCACTCTGAGAATGTGTGCTAGCCAGGTGATGGAGCTGGGGAGGAGCTGTCCTAGGGAATGAGAAACATTACCAGGCAGGACCAAGCTTCACCTTCATCCCTCCTTCCCTCATGTTTCCCAGGAAGCCAACAGTCACAGTGAAAACAAAGTGCACTCTCTGGCCGCATTCTTCCTCTTCATTCTTTCTTACCATTTCTCCATCTGTTGAGCTCCATCTCCAGATGCTGGATAACATTTTTCAAAGTCTTGTTTTTTTCTTTCTCTTTTTCATATTTCTTCTTCCATTCCTCTGCTGTCAGTTCCAAGTTCACCGAGACTGTATTCTTGATGGTCTTTGCTCTGGGATTAAAAACATGAGGGAAAAATTCTGAGCCTGGTTATCAGCATTAGCTGGATCATTAATATCATTAAGCCTCAAATTCCTTTCATTTCAATGAAATGAATGGGACAGGGGAGTAGAACGATCCTGTTATTTACCTACCACCTCCCAGTTGTAAAGGTGCTCCGGTGGCTTAGTGGATAAGGCATTTGGCTACTAACCAGAAGGTCAGTAGTTCAAACCCCCCAGCTACTCTGTGGAAAGAAGATGGGGGGCATCTACCTCTGATTTACAGCCTTAGACTATGAGTTGGAACTGACTCGATGACAGTGAGTTTGGTTTGGGTTTTTGGTCCCAGTTTATGAATGGCACCGTTACTCCATGAAGATCCAAACTCATTCTTTTCTCCTTCACAGCCCACCAGTGTCTAAATCCCACAGACTTTCAGTGGATTTATCCCTCTTTCTCTACTCCCCTTGCCACCACCTTAGTTTATGTTATCAGGCCTAACTTATGGTCATTGCCTCTTCCAGACTTTCAACATTCTTCTCTTATGCCACCTGCACACCATTGCCAGAGCATCCTCCTCAATATAGCTTCCTTTCAATTCAATGAACATCTATGAAGCAATCTGTTCCAGAACTGTGGATGCAACAAGATAAATGAGACACCTGGAGCTTGCAGTGTCACCTGTCAACAATACACAGATGGAAACCATAAAACCAATCTTTTCTCTGAATCAGATCTGGTACTTAGAACCATCCTTGATATATTGAACACATGCTAAGGCATGTCTCAATGGTCAGGTGGATCACACAAATGAAGGAGGAGACCAATTGAAATCAGGGCTAGCTGCAGAGCACATGCCCCATCACAGCCATGTGTCACCATGCAGAAATGAAGGTGTCATTGTTCTCAAACAACCACATTTTTCAAATAAAGCCAAAAATTGAGATATTTTAAAATTTGAATTCCCTGTTTTTTTAATATATGGGCCAAAGATGTCTAATGACCACCATTTTGCCCCTTCTAGTATATGAATGATGTGTTCTAAGGCTTTGTGGTCTAGGGGATCATGATGCCACGTGGCTGGAGGTTGGCCAGTAACTCGAGAGAGCAGGCAGATGGTGAGAACAAAGGCAATGGCAGCTCTAGGTGATACCAGAAACACAAGGCATGATTTATTAGTTACATGTACAAATGAACAAATAAGCAGCCTTGTCTAGTTTTAAAAAGGTAAAAACTTCATCTACAAATATGTAATTGCCCTATTATACTTCCTCCTGACTTTATCATTTTCAATGCCCAACATTTATTACATCATCATATTTGCCAGCACTATCTGATGTGTGACTCAGGTTAATTACCGTTCTCATCAAATGACATGTTAGATGTGATTTCTATTTCAGTGAAAGAAATTCAGTAATCTTCACCAGCACTACAGTTATTATTCAAAAGATTAATTCTTAACATAGACAACTAAATAACTCAACTGTCAAAAGAGGACTTGAATGACTTCAACATAAGACTCCACTTAAGAATTAGTAGAATTCTCTCTGGTTCACTCTAGCTTGAGGCTGCTGTTCCCAGAGGTAAGTGCTTCAACACTAATTTTTCAAATAGCAGCAATTTTATTATTACTTTCTGTCTGTGCTGGTTTGACATGCTCATCTTACTTTCTAACATCCTCAGGTGGTAGTATGGATGTTTCTCAGATACGAACTCAAGCACTGCAGCATCATCCACTGTCAACTAATTAAGTCAGAAAGTGAAAAACAACCTATGGCTAAAATGTCTGTGGACATTTAAGGGTACAATCTGAGGCTAATAATATTACTTTTTAAAACATAGTCTGTTGATGATTTCTAATGATACCAGAAAGAGAGCCTCTAAGCTGTATTTAGGCAGGTTATGCCAGAAGTACATTTTGTGAGCAGATCCAGTAAGGTTACCACAGGTATAACAGTTCTGATTCTCAAACTTCTTTTAAGCTGCCCAGAAAATTCTTTTTCTTCCACTTTTGTAGTAGGGTCCTGGCAGGAAATAGAATTCATTGAAACTGGGTAATATGGGGAGAGTTTAATAAACTGTTTTGTATTGCAGCCATTCTAATAGGTGTATAGGAGTCCGTGGGTGGTGTAAATGATTAAGTGCTCAACTACTAGCCAAGTGGATGGTGGTTTAACTCACCCAGAAGCACCTCAAAAGACAGGCCTGGAGGTCTGGTTCTGAAAGATCACAGCTTCAAAAACCCTGTGGAGCAGTTCTACTCTGCACACATGGAGTCACCATCAGTTGGAACTGACCCAATGGCAACTAACAACAAGAACAATAGTATGTGCGTCCCTGGGTGGTGCAACAGTTAAGCACTGACTACTAACCTAAAGTGTGGTTGTATAAACTCACCCAGTGGCATCATGGAAGAAAAGCCTAGTGATACACATCCATAAAGACTATAGCCAAGAAAATTCTATGAAGCAGTTCTACTCTGTAACATAGGGTCATCATGAACAGGAACTGACTCACCAACAAAGGGTTTGATTTTGGTTTTTCTTGGTGACATATGCATAGTGCTATCTTATTATTATTGTAATGCACATGTCAGGGGAGAAACAGGGACAGTGTGGTACCTCAGATGATAGGAGGTACCATTACCACACATGGGCTAAAGAGCTGTAACAACCTTGGTCTAAGGACACAGCCAACCTAAAATAACCCTGCAGAGAAGAAGCCTGGAAATAAATACCATGACTTCACTCTCTTCCCTCTTTCTGATCCCCTGCCTATATTCCTTTCCCATTGGTCAAACCTAACTGGAAGCCAGAGACAAAGGAGTCCACTGCAGTAGTCCAAATGGGCCAGCCTTCCAAGGCACAGGGCATGAAAGAGAAGGGTTCAGAAGTGACTCAGAGGAGCAGATGGAAGCCATCCAACTCACCTCCCATTTGGAACTCAGGACAACAGGAAGAAACCATGTTTTATGCTGTTACCCTTGACTTCATTGAGACTCTAATGGGGCAGAATAGCACACCTCTCTAGCCACTAAAAGCAGAATATGAAGGAATTAGTTCATACTGATGGGAAAAGATGTTATTTCTCCCAAAATTGTTCCATTGATTAAAATAGTACCAAATGAAATCCCAGGAGGTTTTTGTGTGTGCATGGGCATTAAAAAGCTGTTTCTAAAATTTGTAACAGAATTGAAATAGACCAAGGTAAGCAAAGACAATATTGAAGAACAAAGTTAGAGGATTTGATATCAACATATTATAAAGAAAAAGTAAAGCTGATTAAATAGTTCAGAAACTGGAAAACAAACAGAATATATACCATCCCAAAACATTCATCTGATTCAAGACAAAGTGGCCCATAGAGTTCAGTGAGAATACATGGTCCTTTGAATATATGATACTGGTGGAGGGAGGTTAACCAATGACCTTCTTTATATTCTATTAAAGAAATCTATTCTATTAATAAACTCTGCTTACTCTACTACTAACCTAAAGGTTGGCAGTTCAAATGCACCCAATGGCATCACAGAAGAAAGTCCTGGTGATCTCCTTCTGTAAAGACCGCAGCCAAAAAAGCCTTATGGAGATAGTTGGAACCAGGTTTGCTGGTCCAATAGAGCCTGGTGGAACCACTGAGACTATGGCCCCTAGCTGCC